TTAGCATCTGAAGGACACAAGCATCCCCAATTTTGGATTCTTTATACTGGCAGGATACAGCAATATATATTGCACTACAACCCACAGAGTATACAAAATTTGAATTGAAAATGCTGGGCTACCAAGGAGAAAAGGTTTGATCTTTCCCGTACTATCTTAAAAGTATTAAGGGTGGGTATTAACGCTAGTCAAATGTGTGATTATTTAAATGAACGACTGAACTGTTAAATAAACGTTCCAGGACCTTATTTTTCTTTTTGGTTATTTAAAAAAAAGCAAAGTTAGTTAGCTGAGATTTTACATGCATGATGGTCAGAAAATTCAATGCAATGGCTCCTGTATCAACTCTAATTTGATCCACTGCACAGTGATTTCAGGAACCAATCTATTATATTTCTCATTTTTCATTCTTTATAAAAGTTTCTTTCAAAAAATGATGGGCCTGAAATTTTTTGTACTCATTACCAGAACAAATGTATATTCTAACTTTGATGAAAAATAACATTTTAACTGTATCTTAATTAAAATTTTGTTTTAACATAAAGGCATAAAATAATTAAAGTTAAACAAAATATTACACTTACCCAAGGGCTATTTGTTACAGTTTATTTGGGAACAATAACTTTGAATATCTAACTTGTGTATGTAAAATTTTAAAACTACTTTTTTAGACTTTTAATAGTTTTTAATTAAAAATCTTAAATATAAAATCCCCCTTTTGCTGAAAATTTTGACCTACTATTGTTATTTGTAACACCAAAAATTATTGTAACTGAAAAAGTTCAAGGAAAAATAAAGAGTTTCTCGATTTTTTCAGGTTTTTTACTTTGTGTATTTGACTACCCTATAGTCAGTTTGTGCATGTCTTTCACACACAGCTACAGGGGGAATAAAAAAAATTTAAAAGCAACACAAGCACAACTGTTAAACCATAAAATTGGCTGACTCACTGGCAGTACCTGTAAGCATTATTAACTCACTTTTCTAAACTAACTAGCTTTTAAATTATTTATGTCTGTCATGTTTTCAGATTCTCTTAATTAATAATCAACCTACTTTTCAAATTTATATTTGGTATTCCAGGAATTAGAGGCCACTTTTGAAAACTTGGATATATCATGTACTTAATAACTACCTACATGGACACTTATTAATGCTCAACTCACTTTTTGTATAGTGCGTTGGAATATCATGAGTATGAAAAATATCACATGAAACAAAGTTCTATTTGTGCCTGTTCTGTTGTGCATGAAAGGAAAAGGTACACCAAAAGAATACCTCTCGATGCCCTGAACGGAATGTTATAAATGTATGTAATATCCCAATCGCTCAAGAAAATTAAGCGTGTTTTTGACTTCAGTGGAATTATTTACACACTTAAAGTTAAGCACAAGTTTAAATGCTTTACTGGATCAGGGTGTAAACAGAGCTAGTTGGGAATTTTTCAGCTAAACATCCTTCCATCAGTAAATGCCAACTGTCTAAACCAAATCTGCTCACAAGAAAAATTCAGTTTTGACAAACTTCTTATTTTGAAAATTCTTTGGAAAAAAATTCAAAATTCTCAAAATGACCCTTTTCAAAATAAAAAGTTCCTTTTATATTTGGAAATGACTAATTTTAAAATGTAAGCTAATTATAGTAAAAACAATTTAAAAGATTGAAACAGAAATCTTTTGAAATTATCAAAACAAAATGTTTTCATTGACCAGAGCCAACTTTCTTTTTTTTCCCCAATTGTTCATGAAAATTTTTGAGATGTTTGACTGAATCCCCAAATTCGGGATGGGAAAACTTTTTGAAATTCAAAAACATTTCTCAAGACAGGAAAATTGTTCCCTGCCCAGCTCTGGCATAAGTGAGTTATTGCATGTTTGATCGTGTGCCACGGAGACTGTAACAATTGTACCAGTTGCTAGAAATCAAATCACACTGATGTAGGGAGAAAAAAAGAGCCACAAGAAAGAGAATGACTATGTAGCAACCAAGTCTTGTATGAAGCCTTCATGCATCAGCTATTTTGAATGAAAACAGGTTGGCCTAAGAAAAAGACTTACTATCTGGCAGTGTGAGGTTTCCAAAATGAATCTTCATCTTTCACACTACTTAAACTTTGCAACCACATCTACTACATGTTTACATTTTGTTGTGTTTTACATTAGAACTAAAGGAATCTGGATAAGAATTACTTTCAGAAGTGGATATTTTGAAATTTTGGCACTACTTTCTAAGCTATGCTCTGGTAAATGGTTCTATTTTATTATGTATTGAGAAGTGAAAAAAAGTATATTTCTCATTTTAGCAACATCCAAGGAAAATGGGGTTGGATCACCTTACCTATATTACATAAATGAAACGCTGATGATTGCCTGTGTGTCTGATAAACATGTGAGAAAAACTAAATTTTCTCATGTTTATCAGACATACAGGCAATCTTCAGCATTTGATTTATGTGATTTATAAATTTTCTCTTTGTAAAACCTTAAATATTGCTATCTAGTATGTCAAATCCATGTAGAATTCCTAACAGAATTTCAACGCCATACAGGGAGAGGTTCTAGGGCCAGAGGTGGGCAAACTACGGCCCGCAAGCCACATTCAGCCTGCGGGACCGTCCTGCCTGGCCCTTGAGCTCCCGACCAGGGAGGCTAGCCCCCGGCCCCTCCCCTGCTACCTCAGTTCGCTGCGCTGCCAGCGCTCTGGGTGGCATAGCTGGCTCTGGCCAGGCTGCACAGCTGCGAGCTCCTGCCGCTCTGAGTGGCATGGTAAGGGGGCCGGGAGGTCGGATAAGTGGCAGAGGGTTCTGGGGGGCAGTCAGGGAACAGGAAGCAATTGAATGGGGCAGAGGTTCTGGGCGGGGGCTGTCAGGGGACGGGGAGCGGGGGGGGTGGATAGGTGTGGGAGTCCCGGGGGGCCTGTCATGGAGCGGGGGTGTGGATAGGGAGCGGGGCAGTCAGGGGACGGGGGGGGTTGGATAGGAGGTGGGGTCGGGAAGTGGGAGGGGGCAGAGAGGGGACAGGGAGCAGGTCGGGTCCCTGGGGGGAGGTTAGTGGTGGGGGTCCCAGGAGGGGCCTGTCAGATGGGTCAGGGGTTCTGCGGGGGTCGGTCAGGGATGGGGATCAGAGGGGTTGGATAGGTGTGGGAGTCCCGAGGGGGCCTGTCAGCATGCGGGGGTGTGGATAGGGGGCAGAGCAGTCAGGGGACAGGGAGCCGGGGGGGTGGGGGGGGGTGGATAGGAGGTGGGGTCCCAGGAAGGGTAGTTAGGGGTGGGGGTCCTAGGAGGGGGTGGTCAGGGGACAAGGAGCAGGGGGGGCTGGATGGGTCGGGGGTTCTGAGGGGGGCAGTCAGGGGGTGGGAAGTGGGAGGGGGCAGATAGGGGGCAGGGGTCAGGCTGTATGGGGAGGCACAGCCTTCCCTACGCAGCCCCCCATACAGTTTTGCAACCCCGATGTGGCCCTCGGGCCAAAAAGTTTGCCCACCCCTGTTCTAGGCTAAACCAAGAATCAGATGTGTACAAAGAAAAAGTCTTATTAAAAAAAGTAGCCATTTTCCAGAGGTACACTATTAATTTTATGTAGATATGAATAATCCACAACTCCATATTCACAAAATGCCTTATTTACAAGGGCATTATGTGGTCAGGGAAGAAGGCTGTACTGAAGTATAGACTAAGCCATTAAAACTGCAGGAATTTTCTACCTCTTTTTGTTGAGGAGTGATTCAACAAAATTAGCTCCAGATTTCCTGTCAGGTCAGGTTCTTGGGAATGACACTAGCCATCTCAAGGCCCCACTATTTCAATTTGCTGACAGGACAAAAAGATGCTGGCATAGCAATCATGACATGGATTATTACAAATTGCTCTCTTACAGTCCCCTTTCTTTTCTGTTCTCTGACACTATGAAGTTGGGTGGTGTGAAAAACGTACTGCAGGCAAGAGCTGCTGATAGTCACAAATTACACAGTTAAAAAACAAAACAGATTAGAATCGTTTGTGAAGATTCTAGTGAGGAAACTCATCTTGCACAGAAATCTTTTCTCTTATTTTAATTCTCACTCTTTTCTGTCAAAGTGAAGGCAATGAAATTTCATCAGTTCAGATTTCTGGAGATTATTGGCAGTACTGTTATCTAAATCTTAATCAAAGCAGCATCTCTTTGGTTTTAGCTGCATCTTCCTACTATCACTTATGCTACAAGGCATGGTCTCTTCACACTATAAAGTTATTATGTTGAGCAGTCTGTTTACAATACTGTCGTACCACAATATGCTTATCAAGGTGGTACAGTATTGCTATGTAGATTGAACTGAACGTGTTTTAATCACATTCCTGAACTTTACTACAGCCCTACAAAATCGAAGACTGTACCATGTTCAGGGAACACATTTTGGCCCCATATACTCTGACCAAACCATACTGTGCTTTAAGTGTTTGGGCACTACTATGTAGAACTTTACAATATATTGTATACAGAATCTAAAATACCCTTTTCACAGTGGGATAAGAAGGGTGCTCATTATAACCATATTTATATATAATTGTTGCTAACGGGGTTCTAGCATGGCTTCCCTGATCAGAATGAACAGTGTATTTTTGACAAATAACCCCATGACAGACAACCCAAGGGGATAGCCGAAGGTACCATCTGACTTGCGTGCACCTTAGGGAAAATAACCCCTGTCCACAAGAGGCAGAAAAACCGTGCTAGAATTCTTTAAGCAACAGCTATATTTGAACATTCTTATAGAGCTTGCATAGTTCCAATCCCAGTGTGTATAGGACCTAAATGATTTGAAAGTACAAAGCAAGATAATGTATGACCTCTGTGAAAGAATAAAAACAGCAGTGAAGTGCCAATGTACTTTAATTTAACAACAACAAAAGCACAGTATAGCTTTAGGTTTCTACCAATATTCCACAGTAGCATGAAAGAGAGGTCTTTCTCAAATTAATTATACTTAAACCATGAAACCATGTAGGTCTAGGAGTTTTGACTTACTGAAAGGTGTTGTATCAGTTGGGTCAGGAGGAGGAAAGTTTTCAGTGAAGTTGACATTACACAAGTCAGTGCTGCAGCAGCAGAAGCGATACGTTCCATTCTGAATCAAGGAAGGGGTGGTTGTTACTATACACTCCTCAAAGTGACACTCCTGTGGGTCTCCTATGTGAGACCAGCATCCTGCAAAAGGAAGGAAGTGAAATGGTACCAAATGGTACCAAAATTGATTTTGCACCAGTGTTTACATCTGTATTTAATAAATATAATTAATAAATATAATTAATTAACTATTTTTTCTCCTCAACCTCTCACTCTTATCAGGCTTCTCTTGTATAAGCCTACTTTAGTCTCCCCCATCTTAAAACAAAGAACCTTGGCCTCCCCTCACTCTTAAAACTAATCACCTAGCCTCTCTTCCTCCCTTCATCTCCAAAATGCCTCCTATGTGCCATCTACAACTGCACTCTGGAGTTCCTCTTCTGCAGTTCCATCCCAGACACTCCCCAAACCTAGCATACATCATCTATGCTTCATTGAAACTACTGTCACCAAAATCTCCAGTAATCTCTTTCTGGCCAGATTTCAGGGCCAGTACTCCATCTTCCTTTCTTAGATCTATGCCTTTGACACTTTCTCCTTGAAATCTTGTCCTCACTCAACTTTTGTAACTTCATCCTCCCTCTTCTAGCTCTTCTTCTACCCTCTCTAATCATATTTTCAGTGTTTCATATGGTGGATCCTTCTTATCCAGCAAACTAACTTTCAGTGGGGTTACTACATGGCTCCATCCTTGGGCTTCTTTCTTTCCTTCCACAGATGAGTAGGTTAATCTTACCTGTTTGCAAGACTTCAGGAACCACCTTCAGATTAATGACTCACAAATTCACCTCTTCTCCCAGAACTGTTCTCCCATTCATCAAAACCCACATCTTTACCTATTTTTCTGACATCTCCTCACAGGTGTCCAGCTGTCACCCTAAACTCAACACGGCCAAAACAGAGCACTTGATCTTTCCCCTGCAGATCCTCCCTTTTTCCTATATTTCTGACACCATGGGCAACAGTACCATCCCCTTAGTCACCTGGGCCCACAAACTGGATGTCATCTTTGTCTTAGCCCTCTCTCTAACGTCATAAAATCAGGCCATGTCTAAATCCTGCAGGTCATTCTTACGTAATATGTATAAAATTCTGTCTTTTCTTATCTTGTGTCTTGACAAATGCAAGTTCTTCCTCTCTGGTATTCATTAAAGCAAACTTGTCTCATTGAATCCATACAAAATGCTTCTGTTAAGATTATCCTCCTGGCTTGCTGCTCTGACCACATTACCTCACTCTGAGTTCCACCAGCACTACAAGAAAAAAGTTCTTGTCTTTAGTTTGAAAGCCTTTCAAAATACAGCTTTTTCTTCCTTAACAGCTCTAATAATTTATTGCAATGGTCCCCATCACTTTCCCTTCACCACTGTTCCCAACCTTCTTCCACTTAATTCCTTTTCCTATGCTCTTATTTTTATGTTTACTAACTCCCCTATTCCTGCCATTATCCTTCATCCAACCTCTATCCCAATTAAAATCCACCAAAATATATTTAAAAAAAACCCAGCTTAAAATAATAATAGCAACTGACTGGAACACTGCACATTGTGTCTTTAAATATGAAGTGCTCAACTCTTCCCTCTGTTATGCTACCTTCGATTGGATTCAACCAGTGCACAGAGCCCCTTTGCAGTGGAAAGTCTCCCTGGAGAAGGCCATTCAATAGTACGAGACACCCACAACCATCACCCCTTCCAGGACATCTGCAGTAACCCAGTGCTGCCCAGGAGGTACACTGGCCACAATTTAAAACTGTTCTCCCTGGTAGAAACGCTAGAGGACAAAAGAGCAAATATCCTTGGGGTAAAGGCCACAAAGCATAGTTGCAGATTACAGTCATTTGTATGATAAGGCAACTATATTGCCAGCAGTAGTGACTCAAGCCCCAATCAATTCCTCTAAATATATTAAAAATTTTGTGGAAAAGAACATTTTCTGTATCCAGAATGGATTAAAGTCCTATTCAGATACCTCTAACAACTGATTAAAGAGAAACAGAGATAATCTAAGTGAAAGATTAAATTAATGTTCTAGCCTTTCAACTCTGGAGATTGGGAACACATCTTGAGTTAGGTTACAAGAAAAAAATAGGTGGTGTTTTTACCTGGTTCCCAGTGATATTTACACAGTTTACTAAACTACCACAGTGTGGTTATCTGATGTGATTATCAGTCTCTAATGAAAAATGACTTAGAAATGGCCTAAAAATTCTACACCTGGATTAAATGGCATTTGATCAGAGTAAATCTGACTTTTACTGTATCTATGAATCTCTTAACATCCTTGATCACTAAATACCAATTCTCTAGTGAGCAAGATTAGTTGATTAGTGAAGTATTTTTCAGAAAATTATAATTTTGTGACATATTTATTATATTCATGTATAGAGTCCTTCATAATCAAACATATATAGTCAATGTAAAATGAACATCTCTGATTAATGAGAAGTTTACTCTCTATCAGGCATCTTGCCAACTTAGTAAACGTACTACAATTCACCCAGGAAAGCAACTTTAATCTTGACATGCAGGGTAATAAGGTGTTTTATGCCTAATTTGCCTTGAACTATGCACTGAAAATGTACCTATTAGTCTTTCAAAGCACTTTTCTTTTTTCAAAAGGAACTTTCTGTTCACACCTAATAAACTGCTATGCAGTAAGTTTCAGAAAAAGAAAAACAAGATTTGTCTAATTGTTTAGCAAAAAAAAAAAAAAAAAAAAAAGAGCCTCGCAACTTAAACCCTTCATACCAACAGGTTACTTCTACACAAAAGGATTAGCAAAGTTTAACTGTTACTTACCTTGTTTTACTAGATGTATGTCTCCTTCTCGTGTTTTTTCCCAAAGTCCATAGCAGGTGCTGCCTTTCATACACAAAATTGTGCCATTCTCCTGAGAGATTCGACTCTCGCTGATTCCATGGTCTTGTTGATATGGGTCCCTAAATGCACACAACCGCTCCTCACTCTGGGTAGCTTGAGAAGAAAAGAAAACAAGAAAATCATTTCTAGATGGTAACCAATTTTTCATTAATATGTCTGCATATGTGCATACATCGTAATCAGCCCATGGGTCTCGCACAGAAAGGGTGATTTAGGTCTTTCAAAAGTAAAAATTCAAGAGCATTTTGTTCTTGGCATATGAACATCTATCTTTTAACCTGTAATCCCGCAGTCACAAACAAAGCTAAGGTCTACCCCAAGGTTAATATGATGACAACAAAAGAAAAACATTACTAAGTGCATTAAAAAAATTTAGATTTCCGAAACTTTACAGGTACGGAATACAAATGATTTCAACGCACAGTGTGCATCAGTTGTGAGGCTTCTCCAGCCTACCTATTATGATTGCTCGATAGTGATGTGGTACACATCCTTTTGCCAGGGCTGAGTGTGTTATCATTTAATTACTTCCAGATCCTTTTGGCATCAGGAGCTAGATCAAGCTGAACTCTGATGGGCTCCCACTGGACTAGCATAAACAATATTGGAGTGGACTGAGTCACCAATGGGTGGTGGGTATAAGAGGCTTGGGGAGGCTAAGCCTTCCCAAATGGGCAAGAAATGCTGGATGCAGCGTGCCTCCTTTTGGAGGCGTGCTGGCCCGCCACCTTCGGAGCAAAGCTGCTGGTAGCTCATGAGAAGTGGGGGGCCACCAGCGCCCAGACCGTTGCCCTGCCCTCACTCTGCCCCGAGACTTGGCCCTTGCTTCGCCATTTCCCCCAGAGGCCCCCTTCCCACCCTCCGCTCACTCCTCTCCGCCTTGGGGGAACGGGGCAGGAAGAGGTAGAGTGGGGGTAGGGCCTCAGGGCAAGAGGCCAAGCAGAAGCAGGGCCTTGAGGCAGAGCGCAGGAGTGGCTTTGGGAGGAGGCGGCCAAGCAAGGGTGGAGCAGGAGCTGGGGTAATGATCAGTGCACCAGTGCCCCGTCCCCACACACACACTTCTAGGGAGCTTCCAGGGCTCATGCCCAGCCATCCCAAATGAAAGAATCACATGTTGCCTGTGGAATCGCGCATTCAATTTTCTTTTTGTCTCCACTCTTCCACAAATCTATTCCATTGGGACCGCTTTCTTCTCCCCAGCATCACACCTATTGCTGCCTCTGCACACCCCGTTTAGCAAAGGGTGCCAAGAAAGAGCATTAGCAGCAGAGTGGAAATGATACGATCCTGTCCAATGCTTCTGGGTGAACAAACGCTGACAGGAGCAGCAGCACATGCACAACTCTCTCCTGTGGAATTCACAGTAGGATATTTTAAAAATTCAGTAAAAGAGGATGAAAATGAATACCCTAATCCTATGCCAAATTATCTCTTAATCTTAGATAATTGTCATTAGCCTTCTCTGAGTATATATATTCCTTTTAGAGTTCATATTAAAAGATCAACAAACTTTAAAATATTTGAATAGCTAGGAATTCAAAGGTTTTATCCACAGGATTTTTGTCCTTTTTTCTATTTATATAATCACCATCACTTTCATAAAGGCATAGTTCATGATACTAAGCCTATATCATACCTTCATTAGTAACAGAAAACAAATATCCTTAAGGAGGACCTCAGTTGAAAGTCAACAAGTGCAAAGTATCTAAATTAGTTCCATTTTTACAACACCAACATACTTTTCTTTGAAAGTGATTTTGTGAAAAGGACACACTAAAGTTGATGCATAGGAACATGGACACATGAATTCAAACACACTATGATGATAACGGTCTACACTATGCTCCGTAACAAAGATAATGTCCTATTAAGAATTTGCACTACACATCTATATGTAAGCAGCTGTGATCTTGGCTCTTTCAATTCCAGGAAGTGATTACTACTAATAGGATGCACTGTTTAGACAATAGACAAGTGACCTTTTGGGATAATTAACTCTGAACTTTAAAAAAAAAAATCATTAAATTGTAAATTATTAAATGCATTTATTTTGCTGGCCCACAAAGATATATGTCTTTATAAGAATGTGATGAATACTGCAGTAACATTCCCATATTATAACCAACCCAAAAGTGTTTATAATTGTTTGGTAGCATTAAGATTAAATAAAATCTCCAGAACTGGAAGTAAGCTACTCTTAATTATAAAACCATAAACATGCACTAAGGGGTCAAAAACTCAAGATATTCCTGATCCAGAGAACCCCACATAAAGGTAGACTGCTAAGCAAACTAGCCTATAAATAATAATCCCAGCAACACTTTGTGGTATCTGTAAATATTACATTACACACAAAAATAACATTAAAGTTGCAATATCAACAATAAGGTTGCAAAATCAAGCACTCAAAGGTTCAGAAATGTCTGTTTTAAGGTTATCTGTGCAACATTAAATTGGCCCCCTTCTGCATATGTATTATTATATACATACATATATATATATGTATTATACAATCTTTAATTACAAAACAACATACAACTATTTAAACAGAACCCCGGCCCTCATTCAGTGTTCCAGATGGACGATGCTCACTTAATGAGAGCTACTCAATAGTTTGTTTTCTGCTTATTGTTTACTGTGTGACCCAGATCTTATTTACTGCACCTTATTCAAATTCTACTATGAAGAATTATTTTCCTCTCTGGCTTTCTTATGGTACTCATCACTATATTAGCCGAGTGCTTCACAAACATTAATTTATTTATTTTCACAGCACCCTGTGAGGTGAGCTAAATTCCATTTAAGCTGCACAGTCGTGCAGCAGGCTATCATGGATCACAGAGGTGAGGAGAGACGCCTCTCCCCGGCCCTGGGCTGCTGCTGTGAGAGAGGGCTCAAGGGAGCCCTCTCTACCTCCGCAGACCTGGGGCAGCCTGCACCTCAAACTCCTCATCCCCAGACCCACCCCAGAGCCCGCACCCCCAGCCAGAGCAGTCACCTCTCCACACCCCAACCCTAGCCCCGAGCCCCCTCCTGGCACCCCAAACCCCTCATCTCCGGCCCCACCCCAGAGCCTGCACCCCCAGCCAGAGCCCTTACTCCTTCATACCCCAACCCTCTACCCTAGCCCTGAGCTCCCTTCTGCACCCCAAAACCCTCATCCCTGGCCGCACCCCCAGCCAGAGTCCTTACCCCTCCACACCCCAACCCTCTACCCTAGCCTTAAGCCCCCTCCCACACCCAAACCCCTCATCCCCAGCCCCACCCAAGAGCCCACACCCCCAACCAGAGCTCTCACTCCCCCACACTTCAACCCTCTGCCCCAGCCCTGAGCCTCCTCCCACACTCCAAATCCCTCGGCCCCAACCCCACTACTCATCACCTCCATATTGGTGCATATTACAAAATTCATTCCACACATGGATGTAAAAAATTAGAGGGAACATTGGAGGTGAGGTATTAACCCCATTTTACAGATGGGGAACAGGAGCAGGGAGAGATTAGGTTCAGAAATACACACTAATTTTAGGTGTTCAATTTGAGACACCTTGGACTACATTTTCAGAGGGCTTAGCATTATATAGCACTTTCTATGTTCAAAGCACAGTTCCCACTGATGTCAGTTGCAGCTGGAACTGCTTTGCACTTCTGCAAATCAGACCCCAGTGTCTCAGGTCAGGTGTGATGCTATATATAGATGAAAGATGACCATTTGTCTCATTGTTGATACCACTGTTATACAGTTGCAACAAATCCTGTACAAAGTATGTCATGGAAAGTGTCAATGGAAAAGTTATGATTTGCTAAATATGATTATTTTGTTTATATGCATGTATCATCTTTCCATCTGAAGTTATGAATATTAGCTATGTACTTGCATCTTAAACATGTGTTGTATCCCTGGGTGATACCCACCAGATAGAATTTACATTAGGGCTAGATAGCTGTGTGTTGATGGCCAGCCAAGGGCACTCCACTCTTATAATGAGCCATTGAAGAAACTCATCCCATCCAGATAGCTCTTCCTGAGGGTACCTCACACACCAAGGAGCCAATGTCCACCTCCTGTGATTCAGCAAAACATGAAGGAGCATGTGATATGCTCATGTGACTCTGGACTCCATCTTGGGTCAGTAAATTTCCATGCATATGGCAGAGGATATAAAAAGACACCTAAGACATCTCCATGTTGCCTCTTACCTGCTCTAATTCTCTGGACTGTGGATTTACAACTAAAAGGAGCATCTTGAACTATGGACTGAGAACCTTCCAATTGTTTGGAAGTTACCAGAGAGACTTTACAAGGCAGCAGTTTATCCCATCACTGCTACAAACCTGATATAAAGACTTTGCAATCATTAGTATGTATATGATCTATTAACCATTTATCACACATCTTGAATACTGTATGCAGATGTGGTCGCCCCATCTTCGTGGAATTGGAAAAGGTTCAGAAAAGGGCAACAAAATTGATCAGGGGTATGGAACGGCTTCCGTATGAGGAGAGATTAATAAGACTGGGACTTTTCAGCTTGGAAAAGAGACGGCTAAGGGGAGATATGATAGAGGTCTATGAAATCATGACTGGTGTAGAGAAAGTAGATAAGGAAGTGTTGTTTACTACTTCTCATAACACAAGAACTAGGGGTCACCAAATGAAATTAATAGGAAGCTGATTTGAAACAAATAAAAGGAAGTATTTCTTCAAACAACGCAAGTCACCTGTGGAACTCCTTGCCAGAGGATGTTGTGAAGGCCAAGACCATAACAGGGTTAAAAAAAGAACTAGATAAATTCATGGAGGATAGGTCCAGCAATGGCTATTAGCCAGGATGGGCAGGAATGTTGTCCCTAGCCTCTGTTTGCCAGAAGCTGGGAATGAGCAACAGGGGATGGACCACTTGATGATTATCTGTTCTGTTCATTCCCTCTGGAGCACCTGGCACTGGCCACTGCCAGAAGACAAAAAGAAAAGGAGTACTTGTGGCACCTTAGAGACTAACCAATTTATTTGAGCATGAGCTTTCGTGAGCTACTGATGAAGTGAGCTGTAGCTCACAAAAGCTCATGCTCAAATAAATTGGTTAGTCTCT